GGCCCTTACCAAATGTCTGAGAGGCAATTTATAGCTTTATTTGAAGACAAAGTGACTCTTTTTGCACAGGAAAAAAAAAAAAATGTGTGTGTGGTTCATATCCTCATGAAGACAGAGATGTTTGCAAATTGTATGCCCAAGTGCTTTTCTGCAATATCCTGAAAAGTGTGGTTGACATCACCATTTTGTAGTTCGTATCTTCCATCCTAATTTAAGACGGGACCAAAAAGAACCAAATAGCATGTGGCCCCAATGTCGTGCCTTCTTCTCTTAGTGAATTTTTTTTTTCTTAATTTGGCACATGTTACTCTTTCTTGAAGTCGTGTCTGGCATCTGAAATTTACTGGGTTTTTTTTTTTTTTTTTTTTTTTTTTTTTAAGCAAAGTTTTATTGAGAATGTGGGAAGTGACTATAACTTGTAGCCAAAAACTAGGAGACAGACCTTCAGTTTTTGCAGAGATCTGTTTCTGGGTGGGAATGATCTACTTTATTCTCTTTCCTTTCCCTTCCTCAGAGAGATGTTGGCTGAGTGCAAATCTACGTGAATACTGAAAAATCCTTATTTGTACAAACATGTACAGCCTTGCCATAAATGGAAAAATTTGTTCAACCCAAGTATCATAATTGAAATAAAAGTTCTCTCCCTTATGTTTCAGCCATGGTGGAGAAAGACCCTCTGCCCGTCTGAGCATTCGTAGGGATCGACCATTATCTGTTCACTTAAACCTGGGGCAGAAAGGGTAAGCACCACATTTGCCTTCATATAATTTATTGAAAGATGGTATTATGTGAGATTGGCTCACAAAGTCTTCTTTTGGCTTCCCTTCACAGTAACCGGAAAACATCTTGGTAAGAGAACACATTAATTATTTTATTATCTGCCTTTGAAACATGCGTCTGAATGGTTATGGGACTTTCCCTATTCTGCAGTAACTCTCTTTTCTTTTTCGTTTTTAATTACAGTCCAATAAAAATAAATCAGTTTGAAGGACATTTCATGAAGCTGCAGGCTGACTCCAACTACCTTCTATCCAAGGAATATGAGGTACAACTCAGGCAGAATGAAGCTTCAGCATCCCTAGTTCTCAGCAGAATTTCCCTCCTAACGTTTACTGTGTAATCATAGGCTGATTGGACTCAGAAGTTAGGAGGCTGCTTAGAATCTCAGCTGAGTACTCTTTTATGCCGAAACTATGCCCTGAACAATGTACCATCTAATCTCAGAGGCCAGCTTGAGTTCCAGAATAACACAGCATAGCAAGGGCTACCTGGATCAGACAGTAAGGAAGAATTACCAAATCTCAAATGCAGACATAATGCTGTCAATTATTCAGACTAGCCATTTGCTTGGCTGGGAGAGACTGTGGTTTGGCAAAAAGCACCTAGCTTTTGGATTTGATTCTTGGGTTTGCCACTTGGGTGACCTGGGGCACATCCATTATCCTGTCTGAGCCTCACTTGTAAAAACCCTCCCTTGTGGGGCTGTTGTGGGGATCAGAGCTAATGCGTGTTGAATACTAGGCATTCACAAACGGTAGCTAGTGGATATGTTTTCATATTGTATATCTCCAGGACTGTATGATACGCTTTATTCTATTTATAGTCTCCACTTACAAACTTATTTTTGACCTAACAGGAGTTAAAAGATGTGGGTCGAAACCAGTCATGTGACATTGCACTCTTGCCAGAGAATAGAGGGAAAAATCGATACAACAATATATTGCCCTGTAAGTTCTGTGTCAAAATTTGTAATGCTGTCTTCCTCTAGCCATTTCTGCATTTTTCTCCAAAAACGAAATGGGGCTAATGATATATAATATAGCTGGATATGGACACTCTCAAGCTCTGAATGACTTTAATAAGAAATAACTTGTATATTTCTGCACTTCCCTCTAGAGGGAAAATAGCCAGTTTAAATTCTGATTATGAAAGGCCTCTTACGCTGTCGACCTTTCCCCATGTGGTCCTACTGCTTCTCTTTGCAGGCTAAGAACAGTAATGAGGTTAACAGCAAGGGCTCTAACATAAGCAGACGTGGGTTTGCTTAGCAAAGTCTTCCTTAACAATTTCTGCTTAAATTTCCCTACCCTATTGGGTAAAGCAATAGAAGGCAGGTTTTCTGGACTGCATTCATTCCAGCAGTGAAAGGGAGCTGGCCACTCCACCAGGCAAATGTGGCAATGTTACAAAGGGAAGCACAGATGGAGCTTCACGTTGTCTCCTGTGTCTGAGTGGTTACAGGCCACCTGTGCAACCTTGGGCAACTTAGTTATCCTGTCTGAGCCTCATCTGCAAAATGGAGATAAGATCACCTCCCATCTGGGGCTACTGTGGGGATCAGAACTAAGGCACATCACACACTTTACATCAACTATAGAAAAATCACCCCAAGATTCAGCTGCAAATCTCTCCTTCCAGATGATGCCTCGCGAGTGAAGCTGTCTAATGTAGACGATGATCCTTGCTCTGACTACATCAACGCCAGCTACATCCCTGTAAGTGAACTACCAGGCCACAGTGTTCAGGATGAGGCTTTGGTGGGTGGCAACACTGGAGATGCCACTCCTGCATGTTCCCACTATTCTTAGGTCTGGAAATGCTTGTAGATTTCACAAGAGCATGTCTGAATGCCATTAAAAAAAAAAAATGGGGTATCCAATTCAGTTCCTGCTAAGCCACATTTTTCACAATGGCTATAGTCAAATGAAATTATAATGAGCCCAAGATGCATTTTCATAGGTCATCTACTCTCTGCAGTCCTTAACCGAGATGAGAGCTTCCTAAGGAAGATGGACCTCCCCTGCTAAAGCTGCCTAGCTAGAGAAGTTGATCCCATGTTATTTGGACTCTTCACAACCACAGACACAACTCAAAGGTTATGTCAAATCTTTGGGCTCTGGTTTTGCTTAGCATCTTGCCACCTTCCTACAGCACACTGCGGTGGAAAAAGCTTTAAGGTCAAGCAAACCTAGGTTTGAATCCCACTTCTGCCCTTTGTTGACTCTGTGACCTTGGGCACATTATATCACTTTTTTGGGCCTCCATTTTCTTTTCCAAACGCTGAGGATAATCAGCTTTACTCCAAGCAATTATCCATTCACTCAGTAAACACTTAGAATTAAGTGCTAACTGTAAGTCAAACACTGAGCTGTTTATAGGCATGGGATAAGATGGAATCCTGACCCTAAAGAAGCTGTCAGAGAGTTTAGGCAAGAAAAGGCAATGCCATGAGAAACCTGCCACAGCAGTGCCTCTCCTCCATTGAAAGACATCTGCATCATCTGGGGTCTTGTGCAAAGGCAGATTCTGATCCAGCAGGGCTGAGGCAGGGCCTGGGAATCTGCATTTCTAACAAGCCTCTGTGTGATTCCAGTGCTGCTGGTCTGAGAACCACACTCAGTAGCAAGAGGCTAGAGGTTGCCATGGGGCATCTAGGAGGAGAATATCCCTCAGCAGAGATAAAGGTAAAGGAAGGCTCAGCAGAGCAGGCTCCATGCTGAGGATAAGTTAAGGATTCATCAGATGAGAGGCAGTGTTTTGGTGGGGAGGGTTTGGGTGGCAATGGCAGAGGTGACCTAATGTGGAGACCCTGAGGAGAGGCAGAGAGGAGCTTTGACTAGAATTGACAAGGAATTGCTGTCATTGCTGTAGTGCAGAAGGAGTAGATGAAAATATCCAGCTCAGGCTGGGCGCGGTGGCTCAAGCCTGTAATCCCTGCACTTTGGGAGGCTGAGACAGGCAGATCATGAGGTCAAGAGATCGAGACCATGGTGAAACCCCGTCTCTACTAAAAAATACAAAAATTAGCTGGGTGTGGTGGTGCACACCTATGGTCCCAGCTACTTAGGACGCCGAGGCAGGAGAATTGCTTGAGCCCGGGAAGCGGAGGTTGCAGTGAGCCGAGATCGCGCCACTGCACTCCAGCCTGGCAACAGAGCGAGACGCTGTCTCAAAAAAAAAAACAAAAATCCAGCTGTTGGATTATGGTTTGGATTAAGTCAGTCTGACCCAAGACACATTAGATGCTCAGTCAACAGAGGTTTATCTTCCCATGCAAGACATGTCTTACCAGAATATTCTAAAATTATCCAAAATGAGTAAAACTCTTCTACGTTAAATAGGGAAAGAGCCTGATCACAGCCCCTCAAACAATCTACACAAATACCCGCCATCCCCCTCCACACACACATAATTGAGGGTGAAGTGTTTTCTAGATCGTTTCCTGAGCCCCCCCCTTTCAGAATAGACCCAGGCTAGTAAAAGGGAATGTGGCTCTTAACAGTTCAACATTCTGACCTTTGTCCTTCCTGCTCCCAAGCCTTGACACTTGTGTTAGTATCTTTTTCTGAAGTCAGGGACTTGGCAGAGACCTCCCTGTCATCTAATCTGAAGAACTCTTTGTTTATAGTTCTGAAGAGGCCCATTGTTTCCAACTCTCCATATTGTAAATTCATTGCAGGGCAACAACTTCAGAAGAGAATACATCGTCACTCAGGGACCGCTTCCTGGCACCAAGGATGACTTCTGGAAAATGGTGTGGGAACAAAACGTTCACAACATTGTCATGGTGACCCAGTGTGTTGAGAAGGGCCGAGTGAGTAAACAGCCCTCCTGACATCCAAGCTTTGCTTTCTGCCACCTGGATAGAATTCTGCCCCACCATCCAAGTGAAACCCCGCAAAACCAAGTAGGGATCATGTGGGAACATTGTTAGAGTCTTTTGAACAGAGTGGCTTAAATCACTAATAGTAAACCCAGGTGATGCCTGATTCTGGGTCTGAAGTGCCAGTCAAAGCTGTTTCCATTTGAGGACTGGGATTTTCAGCAATGCCCATTACACCAAAAAATTACCTGGCCCTAGCCACTTGGCTACTCCATCTTCAGTGTATGGCCAGGGGAGAGACCCTGTCCCTCCTCCCAGGAAAGGAGAAGTGAGTTTTAGGCTGTGTTGGCAGACGCAAAGTCAAAGAATTATCCAGACAAATTAAGCAAACACCTCGTAATGCACGTATCATCTTCTACGTTATATGGTTATTTTGAGGATTAAAAGAGAGATTACATGTAAAGTGCCCGGTATCTGCGTTCAGTAAATACGTGCTCACAATCCTCTTTCCCTTGTCTGTGCACATGTAAAGGCAAGCTTAGCTAAACGTTCTGACTTCTCGAAGATCTCTTGGCACAAGGCCCAAGTTAGGACAGTGACATATAAATACAAACAAAGCAGGGCCAGGAAGACAGTACCTTCCTCTACACAACTAGATATTTCTTTAGGAAGAACAATGAATTGTGAACCATAGTTTACCTGCTAGTGCAGCTGAAATGCTAAGAAAACCAATTTAAAAAAAGAAAAAAATCCTCAAGTCATGTATCCCTAGGCCTAAAAAAGTGAGTGAATCCACAGATTGGCGTTGGGGGTGCTCCTTATGCAGTGTCTCCCCTTCACTTGGAGCAGCACCTCAGCTTCAGCGCTGGCCAAGAGCAGGTTAATATAAAGTAGATGGTCAAATTGCTTTAGCGGCTGATCCGGGATTCCTAACTCAGGAAGGTGTTTAGAGGAGGGAAAGCCCATGTTCACAAGGAGTCACTCTTCCGGACTCACGTTGTTTCTATCTGTCGTCTTTCAGGTAAAGTGTGACCATTATTGGCCAGCGGACCAGGATTCCCTCTACTATGGGGACCTCATCCTGCAGATGCTCTCAGAGTCCGTCCTGCCTGAGTGGACCATCCGGGAGTTTAAGATATGCACTGTATGTTAGCTTGCTTGACTTCATTTAACAACCCAGCTGGGGGAGATGAAGGAGATCTGCTAATCCCACTTTTGCTGGTTCTTCTCTTGTAGTTTCAGCCCATAGGAATTGCTCCACGGCTCAGTTGTCAAGTTTGAAGGTTCCTCTTACTATCCTGCTCTCTGCTCTTACAGGAGGAACAGCTCGATGCACACAGACTCATCCGCCACTTTCACTATACGGTGTGGCCAGACCATGGAGTCCCGGAAACCACTCAGTCTCTGATCCAGTTTGTGAGGACTGTCAGGGACTACATCAACAGAAGCCCCGGTGCTGGGCCCACTGTGGTGCACTGCAGGTATGCAGAGATCTAGGACCCAAACGGCAGCCGTATGGGGGTTGTGCCTAGGAGCCTGGAAAAAGACATAAGCATGGGGAATTTAGTGGATCGAGGATTTGTCTGGACCAACCAGCCTGCCTCACCCCCAGGGAGTTTTATTACATTCCTCCCCTTCTCTCAAGGTCATTCTTCTTCCCTGGCTTCTCCTTTTCCACTTTCTTCCCCTCTAGCCTCTCTCTTGCCCTCACTCTCCAGCCTTCTCTCTCCCTCTTGCTCTTTTCCTACTTTCTGAAATGCAAAGTCCTGATGGGAATTCCATGCTTTCCATCATCAGGCGTGTATCACCTTCAGTCTAAGTTTCCAACAACTCCTTTCCCATTATAGCCAGAAAAGTGAGCACACACGCCTATTCTTGCCTCTGGGTAGTCTTCTGTTTTGGACTGGCTTTATTTCTCTGTTCCACCTAAGTGCTACCCATCCTTCAAGATTTACTTTCTAATCTTCCCTCTAGATCTACTAGTAGGTCTATTTGTGTGGCTAAAACAAAATACCACAGACTGGATAATAAGTAATAGAAATTTATTTCTCACCATCTAGAAGCTGGGAAGTCCAAGATCAAGGCGCTGGCAGGTTCCCTATCTGTTGAGCTTGGTCTCTGCTTCCAGGATGGTGCCTTGTGGCTGTATCCTCACACGGAGGGAGGGATGGAAGGGCAAAGGGACCTAGCTAGTTCCCTGCAACCCTTTCTCAAGGCACCAATCCCCTTCATGAGGGCAGAGCCCCCATGGCCTAATCAGCTCCTAAAGGCTCCACCTCTTAATACTGTTGCATTGAAGATTAAGTTTCAACATGAATTTTTTGGAGGGGACACAAATGTTCAAACCACAGCATAGCAATCGCCATCTGTAGCACCTAATTTTTTCTCTCAAATTTCTCTTCTCTTCAGTCTGCTCTGTACTTGCTATGTATCATTTCCATACATTTCCTACATACATGTAAATCTAAACAGCATATTTATGTTTCAAAAATTTATTGAAATAGTTACATATATGCTTTATGTATCTTTTTGTCAACTTTCCTGCTCAATATTATGTTTTCATAATATTGTTAGGTCCATAAAATCAACCTAACAAGTGAAATCTCGCTCTCTCTGGGGAGCCTGGTGTTTGGCTAATTGATGTTTGCAGTAACACTTTGACAGCCCTGACTGAGTGGTACTAATAAATAAGGAGCAGGGAATTGCAGCGGGAAGAGAAATGCCAAGTGTACTTGTCTCCTCCCTGTCAGCCCAGCACCCTAAGAGCCATGCTTTTCCTGTGTCCTTGGAACCTTGACACTTTCAATAGGAAGGTGAGGTACTCAGAGCTTTCTGCTTTCTGAAAAATGGCAGGCATTTTGTACAGGACCACCGGAGAACTGTTCTTTATGTTATAAATGTGTGTATTAAAAATCCCCAGATAATACAACCATTTTGGGGAGCAATTTGGCAATCCCTAGTGAAGTTGAAGGTATTCATGCCCTTTGACCAGACCAAGAGTTCTGCTTCTAGGTATCAACCCCTGAGATATCTCCACACTTATGCATGTTCATTGCAACACGTCTTAATAGAGAAAAACTAAAAATGATCTCATTGCCACTGGATTATCAGTGGTTTATGAAGAGAGTTAAAAGAAATTAGATCAGCTGGGTGTGGGATAGCCTGCCTTTCCCAACACTTTGGAGGCCAAGGTGGGAGGATCACTTGAGGCCAGGAGTTTGAGACCAGACTGGGCAACAAAGTTTTTTTTAATTAGCTGGGAGTAATGACACATGCCTGAGGTCCCAGCTACTCAGGAGGCTGAGGTGAGAGGAATGCTTGAGCCTGGGAGGTTGAGGTTGAGGCTGCAGTGAGCTATGCTTGTGCCACTGCACTGCAGCATGGGCAACAGAGCAAGACCCTGTGAAGGGGGTTGGGGAGGTGGGGAAGGAAGGAGGGAGGGGAGAGAGAAGAAAAGATGGAAAGAAATAAAGATCTATATGTAGCAACATGGATAAATCTGAAAACATATTGAGTAGGAAAGTTGACAAAGATACCTAAAGCATGTATGTAGGAAAAGTATTAAAAAGCATGCGTGGAAATGATACATAGCAAGTGCAGAGCACTGCTTATCCCTGGTAGAGTGGAAAGAGATAGAAGGCTGTATGGAGGTAGGCTTGGGGGTACGGTAGGTTAAACTTGCTTAAGAGGAAAGAGCACACTGAGAGAAAGAAATAGTCCTACTTCTTCCATAACTGGGAAGAGAAAAGAAAGATTGTGCCAAAGTCTTTGATGCAATCTGGAAAGGCAAATTTAACAAAAAGGCTCAATCTTCCTTTCCCATCTCTTCCAGTGCTGGTGTGGGTAGGACTGGAACCTTCATTGCATTGGACCGAATCCTCCAGCAGTTAGACTCCAAAGACACTGTGGACATTTACGGAGCCGTGCATGACCTGAGACTTCACAGGGTTCACATGGTCCAGACCGAGGTAAGAGTTACAGGCTGAAAGTTATAAGCCACCTTCTTCCCCACGATATCCCCACAGAAAAATATCCAGGACTTGAATATGACAAGGGGAAATAACTATGACACATTAGGAAGAGAAAAAGAGAACTAAATATAGATATTTTCTAAATCTCACTGGTCTTGAAGGTGACCATCTCGGGGATCGTTTTAAGGCAGGCTGGCAGATGAGCACAAGAACTTCAGTTAGGAAAGAAGATGTTAATGTCTCCTCTCCCCCAGCCCTACTCCCCCCACCTACACCCCCATTCGGAAGACACCAAGGGAGTGTGTTTAGACTGTAAACACTACATGCTTTGATATTTGTAGGGCATTTTTGAACATGTCATCTCAATACATTTTCACAAAAACCAGGTGAGACATATTATATTCCATTTCCATACTAGAAAATGAAGGTCTAAAAGCTTAAGGGCTTTGCACAAAGCCCATAGCCATGAAGTGGCTGAGGTGGCTTGGACACTTCTAGAGAATCCTGAGTCTACTAGCCTCACAGTCAGATCTCTTCCCTGACAGAGACCAAGCGTCACTCCTCTGCATCAATGCCTTCCGAGGCTCAAGTTCCCTAAGTTTTTCTCACAGTAACTATGCAGCATCCTTATTTGCACATTGTGTTACCTCTGCTCTCAAAGTCAGCCAGTGATATTGATAGTAGAGTCCCTTCTGGTTGCCAAAATGCATCACGAGTTTGGGGCAAGTGTATGGAAGCGATACATGGCCCAAGAATTAAAAAAAAAAAAAATTCCATGTTTGGAAAAGTAAAAAGTTCTACATGCTTCTGTATCCCCTCTTAGAGTTACAGTACCCGTGGCCACTGCACAGACAGCAATGTTCCACAAAAAGAGAGCATCCTAGAGCCAAGGCCCCATTTGAGCTTCATTGAACCTACTATTCCCAAAACCGCCTTGACCCCTGAATTCTTTTCTTGCACATTACATATTAATATGCTGCATTCAAGCCAGCAACAACTGAACAAGAGAAATAAAAATTAAAAATATCCTGCAGAATTAACATTTGTCAAAACAGTGGCATCATTGTCTTCTGAAGGCAGGATCCTCTGCCACCACTGTTGTCCTGGACTGGGAGGACTTTCATTATAGCAATGATGCCATCATATTTTGAATGTTTTATTATGAAATTGTTTTTTAAAAAATGCACAAAACGTGGCTGGGTACAGTGGCTCATGCCTGTAATCCCAGCATTTTGGAAGGCCCAGGGGGCCAGATTACTTGAGGCCAGGAGTTTGACAACAGCCTAGGCCACATAGCAGGATCCCATCTCTGCAAAAAAATTAAAATATATATACAAAACTAGGGAAAGTAGTATAATGACTTTCCATGTATCCAAACCCCAGCTTCTACAATTATCAGCATTCTGTGTTCTTTTCCCATCTGTATCCTACATATAATGTTCCCCTACCCCAAGACATGACCTCACTGAAATATTTTAAAGCAAATCCCACTTAATCACATTATTTCATCCTTAAATATACATATGTATATACACATATACCTATGTCTATACATAGGTATATGCATATATGCATGTTTACACATGTACACATATAGATGTATATGCATGTGTAATGTCACATTACCTATATGTGTTTACACATAAGTGCACATGTATGTGTATACATGTGTGATGTGACATTGCATATAGATGTATACATGTGAACATGTATATTTGTATGTATAAGTACGTATATTTGAAATAAGTACTCTTTAAAATTTAGAGCATAATGTCATTATCACATCTACTTTTTAACCATAGTTCCTAAGTATCATCTAATATGCAGTATTTAAATATCCCTAATTATCTCAAAAAAATACTTTTATAAAAACCTGTAGTTGGTTTCCACTAGAATCCAGAGTTTACGTATTTCATTTGGTTGGCGTATCTCTGAAATCTCTTTTCATCTATAATCCTCCCTCCCATTTGTTTTCCATGCCATTTATTTGTTAAAAAGAAACCAGTTCATTTGTTCCATAGATTTTCCCACATTCTAGATGTGCTGATTGCTTGTTCGTGGTGGTAATGTATTCTTCTACTCTATATGGTTTTTGTTAGCTGGTGGTTAGATCTAGAGGCCTGATTAAACTCAGGTTCGTTTCACCAACACAGTGCTCCGTGGGTGGTGCTAAGGGCACCACCATGACATCAGAAAGCAGATCACCACGTCTGTCTCTCTCTTTCAGCACTGAGGAAACTGACAGTGAGTTCAGGGGCTGTCAGCCTGAACCCTTCATTATCCCAGTCAACCTTTCACTTAATAGTGTTAGAAGCCACTGATGACCTCTGCCTAGCTCTGTTATTTCATTAAAGGTTGTTGAATTATATTACCCTGTATCATAATTGTTATCCTTCGGTTTTCCTCCACAACACTGTGCATTTCTAGTGGGTGGGAACCTGTTTTCCTTCTCTACGTCCTCAGAATTTTTTAATCTGTTAAATGAATGAAGAAACATCCTATAATTACATTGCTAAAAAGCATTAATATTTGTTAGTTTACTGTCACTTTCACAAACTCAAACCCTAATTAATTTGTAACTTGGGGAAGAGGAGGTTATCATATTGTAAATAGTCTCGAACTATGTGTATTTGTGTGTGTGTAGGCTGTCTAGTAATTGCCAGAGGATTCTTGGGCCATCTATCCCTTTCATACACCTACCCCAAACTCATGATGCATTTGACAACCAGGAGGGACTCTACTGTCAGTATCACTGGCTGACTTTCAGAGCAGAGGTAACACAATGTGCAAAGCTCTTTCTCCTTAGAAACAACTCCATCTTTTCCCTATTCTGTTTTCCTTTTCCTCCTGCCTCACTGAGGATGCCGTGGCTTAGTTCCTCAGCTTGCCTTCTCAATGTTTCACTTCACCAACGTCTGCCTTCAAGGCACCGCCCTTTCTCTCAATCTTCATTATTTGTAATATTTTCCATTCCTGTACAGGCTCATGTTACCCAAATCTAATTCTGCCTCCACAGACGTGTACGTACATGACTACCAGACGGATGCCCCCAAACGCCTTACAGCCATTTAACGTCAAAAAGATCAAAGCCAAACTCATTCTCTTTTTCAAAAAGCGAAACAACAACAAAAACATTCCTCCTGCTCTTGCTCCTTCCAGTGTCATTTAATAGTATTGCCATCCACATGTTTGCCCAAGCCAGGGAGCTGACTGCTTATATTTTTTAAGGGATGGGGTCTCATTATGTTGCCAAGACTGGACTCAAAGTCTGTGCTCAAACGATCTACAGGTGTGCTCCACCACACCTGTCATGCTTACATGCATGGATATGTGCATTTATTTGCTTCCTATTTCTATTTTCTGTTTATTTACATAGTGAGACATGTGAGACAAGATCTCACTATGTTGACCAGGCTAGACTCGAATTCCTGGGCTCAATGGAGTGGATTTCTTTCCCTGCAGTTCCCACATCCAAGCAGTCACGAAGTCCTTTCCTTCTCTTTGTGCTAGCCCCTCACCCCACTGCCACTGCCCCCACACAGCCCTTTATCAACTCTCATTAGCCCTGCTAATGAGTAGCCTCCTAGTGGGTCCCCTGCCCTCAGTTCTTCCCTAATGATCCTTCAACCACCCCTGCCACCATCAAAGTTCCCTTACTGACTCTGTCAGCTCCCTGCATAAAAATCATGAAAAGCTCACCACCGCTTGTAAAATGAAGTTCAAACCCCATCCTGCGTATAAGCCTCTTCATAACCTGGCCCCAGCGTGCTCCTCCAGCTTCCTGTCATCGTACTAGACACCACCAGTGGTTAGGGTCTGCCAAATTAAGGAAGGTTTACCCACCTGGGCCAGAAGCGACTTTGAGTCCTTCCATCATAATGAAATAAACATAACAGTAAGATAAACTTTTCTCTTTCTCATTTTTCTCAATCAAACAAAATTCCAAATCCTATCCAGATATTAGGTTGGTGCAAAAGTTATCGTGTTTTCTGCCATTAAAAGTAATGACAATTACTTTTGCACCAACCTAGTATCATCTGTCTTGCTTTAAGTCTCTGCTGAAGTTGAGTGGTTTTTACAGGCTGAGAATCCCTGGTGCCAGCTGGCATTTAGTAATGGGAGTGGGTGCAGAGGGGTGTGATCCAAGGCTAAGTCCCTGTAGGTGACCGTTTCAGCAAAAGATGGAGGACATTCGGACCCCTGCATTATTTTTTTGGGTCTATGGTGACAGTGAACTTCCACTTACCTCTGTCTTTGCTTGAGATACAAAGGGATGCAGGTCTTCACAATTTTTGATGACTCCATCAAACAGCAAGCATTTGTAAACAAGAGGCATTTGTCAGGGGACTCGTGAGCTTTCCTTCTTTTATACTGCTTTGAGGGAAATTTGCAGCTTGACCCTGAGAGAGACATTCGGAGAGCAATAACTTGTTAAAGAACAATAGATGATAGTCACAGTCTCAATCTCATTTGCTTCCCCTGGGAAAGAAACACTGAGATGTTTTGGATGAAGGCTCTCAGGTTCCATTTGGGGTATTGTTTGAGGTGTTTCCCATGACCCACGCAACCAGCATTTTAGCTGCACTGCACTTCTCACGGTTTCCAGAATATATGTGAAATGTTATGCTATGTTACCCTACTTCTTTGCTTGAATTCTTATAAATATCCTCTCTTCTCTTTAGCTTGATAGTTTCCTCCCCTAAAAGTGAACTTAATGGCTTTCTCTTCTATATGAAGCCTTATACACAATTCTATTTTATGCTGATCATCTTATAGGGATTTGTTCACTTAATACTAACCCATGCCCTCAGGGATCACAGAAGACTGTAACTATGACACTGTAAATAATATCTGATACTGCAAATATTGATGAAATTGAATGGAACTGAATGTGTCAATACTCAGCCAAGCTTTCACCAGTTAGCAAAAAATTCTCTTCTATGATCTCAGGTTCATATGTTAGGCTTTGTCTACTTTTCATTAAGAATAAAATGAGAAGCACATTGACAATCTCACCATTTTGGTAGTAATCATTTTCAAAGGGACATTCTATTGGGAAAAGAAGAATCTGTATTTAAGACAAGGCAAATTAATGGATATTAACTAGTTTCAAAGCCCATGGTGAATCATTGGTAAAGAATTCATTAATGGGCCACAGCACACATGTACTAGAGTTCATTCACAGCTAACGTCCCAAAGTAACTTAATATCCTAGTAGAATTGAAAATATGAATTATGCTTTGGGTGGGAGAAAACGGGAAGATGTCAGTCTGTAATTTGGTGGATCCTTTTAAGTTAGCCAAAAGAGAGAGACTGCTTTATACTAACAACCATTCTCTGGAGACTACTTTTCTCAGACTTTCAATAGTATTGAGATTGTGTATAACATTCATAATGACAAATGTCTGTGAGCAGAAAAGCAGAGAATAGCTATCAATATTATTGCAGGCCTCACTTCTTATTGATTTGGTTGTTTAAAATGTCCTTATCTAGGCTGGGCAGAGTATAATCCTAGCACTTTGGGAGGCCGAGGCAGGAGGCTGTCTTGAGGCCAAGAGTTTCAGGCCAGCCTGGGCAATAGAGCAAGATCCCATCTCTAAAAAACTTTTTAAAAAATTTGTCCAGGCCTGATGATGCACACCTGTAATCCCAGCTACTCAGGAGGCTGAGGTGTGAGAATCACTTAAGACTGGGAGTTCAAAGCTGCAGTGAGCTATGATTGTGTCACTGTACTCCAACTTAGGTGACAGAACAAGACCCTGTCTCTTAAAAAAAAAATTAAATGTTCTTATCTATTGATTATACCAGACCTACCTTATGTAGTCCCATGGATAGATGACCAGGCTAGCTTCCAATCAGGGACAATATCTAGTGCCAATCCATAAAAATAAGTACCTGTTTACTTGGCAGGATTGTTAATGAGGAAAGATTGAATTATTCTATTTTGTATCTCAAACCTCTAAAATACTTTGACTGACTGCACTGATTGCTTTAAACACAAGGTCTGGAAATATTTTCCATTATCTATCTGACTGACATCAACCTATATGCTTTAATGGACAAAGGCTGTTAGCTATAAGAGACCGTTGCCTCCTTGTTTAATAAACGGGAAAACTAGGATCCCAAGAAGCCTGATGGCTCAGCCTAGGCTGGGTAGAGGCTGCTGAGAGCCCAGTCTCCTTCACTGCTCACAACTCCCTCTGAGCAATTGCTCTATCAGCAAGGGGAGGTTTCACAGACATCCATTTCCTTATAAGAGAGCCCAGGGAGTATAAGGAAGGGGGCCCAACGTACAAGCTTGGCTGCCTGGGGCTGAGACACAGTGGTCAGTGGCAGTCTTTATGGTCACCAAAGCACTGACTCTTCTATATTTATATTTCAAAAGTAGTAAATTCTCAAATAGCTGTCAGGTGGGTCTGTCCTCACTCTGTAACCCCTGTAGTTCTCTGCAGTCAGCCAGCATCTTTGAGATTCTTCCATGTGGCAGACTCAGATGCTGAGAGAGCAGAGATGGATAAGACAATGACCTTGCACTCAAAGAACTAACAGCCCAGCAGGGTGGTTTGTACATACCTCTTTTTTTCCCACTATATTCCCAGAATAAAAAAAACAAAACAGCACAGTATGCAGTGAAATGATTTTCTCATTCAGTAATGCAATGAAATTAGGATTCATCTATGAAAACTGCTGTAGTGAAAAAGACATGAACTTTGAGGTCACATCTCCAAGAACAAATCCCAGGACCCCATTTCTTAGCTGTGTGACCTTGGAGAAGTTACTTAACTTTTGAGTCTTAGTTTATACTGATCATTATATTTACTTCACAAGGTGGTTGAAATCATTAAACGAGATGATGTATGTAAACTACATAGTAGCCTTTGGCATTCGTTCATCTACTGAATTTGTGTAGGACCTACTATGTACTAGACACAGTTGTAGGTGCTCAAAGAACACACCACATATATATACATAAATATTAAAAGAATGAAAAATGCCACCTCTCTGCCCATTACCATCGTTCTCTTTTCAGTGGTAATAAAAGACGGTCACTCTTTCATTTATCAGAGACCATTAGTAAAGTGATGACCAAGAAACTTAACTATATACAATCCCGTCATTGTCCGTATTTTGTGAGAGCGCCTCATCTTTCTTCTGCATGTGAACAGGCCGTCCTCTGACATGTCTCTTATTTTCCACAGTGTCAGTATGTCTACCTGCATCAGTGTGTAAGAGATGTCCTCAGAGCAAGGAAGCTACGGAGTGAACAAGAAAACCCCTTGTTTCCCATCTATGAAAATGTGAATCCAGAGTATCACAGAGGTAGGTACTTACTTTACTCACTTCCGAGTTCCTTCATCAAGATACGGTCGATACAGCCAGGCACAGAGGCTCACATCTGTAATCGCAGCATTTTGGGAGGCTGAGGCAGGAGGATCACTTGAGTCTAAGAGTTTGAAACCAGCATGGGCAACATAACGAGACCCCATCTCTACAAAAAATTAAAAAAAAAAAAAATTAGCCAGACATCCTGTGTAGTCCCAGCTACTTGGAAGGCTGAAGGAGAGGATCACTTGAGCTTGGGAGGTCAAGGCTGCAGTGAGCTGAGATCACACTACTGCACTCCACTGTGAGTGACAGAGCAAGATCCTGTCTCAAAGAAAAAAGAAAAAGATTCTAACTGGACGCAGTGGCTCACGCCTGTAATCCCAGCAATTCCTTACCATGTGGACTGTTATCTCTCTATAAATCAGATAATCTTTCTTTGACGAACATTATTTCACACGTTCTTATCTCCATTTCTAAATGATCTTCAATTGGCAGTGTCTCCTAACCTTTTACTTAGTTCTCTGTTCCACCCAGCCTAGCCAGTATATTAATGAGTTAACAATCTATAAAGCACAAATAAAGAGCTACTATTTAGAGGAGTCCTTTGTAAATCAGATAATATTTTGTATGATAAATAATTACCCCTTAATTTGTCTGTATAGTCATTTAAGGTTTTTGTATTGGAGATTCTTTAAGAAGCTTCAGGATAGAGTGAGTTCTGAAGGATCTGGGAGGTTCCTTTGTCTTGTTTTGACTTGTCTGAGAATCTTTAGAGTAATCTTGGGCAACCCTGAAAGCAGCTAACTATGGTATAGAAAAGGTTCACCACCAGGCACTGAAGCCTAAGATTCAGGTCCAAACTCTTGAACTAACTAGCATTAACAAGCTGTGTAACCTGAGTAAGTTACTCTGCCTCTCTGGGCCTATGGCTTCATCCATAAAAACAGAGGAGACGGGCTAGAATTACTAGTCCCTTCCAAGTCTAATAATCTGTGTTTCTAAATGGAATGACCTGGTCCCCTTAGGAATGGTCTCACCTTAAACCACGCTGAGCTTTATTCATTTCTGCTGGTCTTTCACATTGGTAATTTTCATAAACAACTATGACACACCCGGCTACAGTCTCTAATTTCACTGTTCTTCCTTTCAGATCCAGTCTATTCAAGGCATTAAGAATGTACCTGAAGAGCTCCTGGATAAAAATTATTCACTGTGTGATTTGTTTATAAAAACTTGCTTCATGCCCTACAGAGGTGCCAGCTATTTCTGTTGATACTATGTATAATTTATTAATCTGGAGAATGTTTAAAATTTTATATAATTTAAAGGTAACATATTGTACATAGTTGTATTTTGTAGTTTCTTCTGTAAATATGTGTTTTTCATAATGTTTAATATTAAGCTTTATATAGTTCTATTTTTCCACACTAAAGTGTTCATGACTTGTTCTACATAAACTAATTCAACCTGTATAACAAGACTACTAGTTAAATGCATATGGAGGTGGTGGCAGAGACAATCCCTTAGGCCATGTTTTCTACCTGTTTTGATATTCACTGGACAGGAAAAAGGGCAAGGCTAGAGAGAGCAAATACTATGGCTACCTTTGTTGCATTGCTGTCCCATGAATCTCGATAGCCAACAGGCATGTCCTAACATGCTGTTAGGACAGATGTAACAGTCAAAAATAGGATTTGAGGGAGAAAAAGGAATTAAGCAGTACCAAAGCTGAACCGGATGGTTGTGGCTGAACTAGCTGCTCTCTCTCTCCCTTCCCCTACCAGGGATTGAGGCCAAAGGGGTCTGGGATCATGTAACTTGCAGTCCAAGCCCAGGATGTAGGGTTGAGGGTTCTGATTGACAGAGAATAATTCCAAACAGAAGTGATGAATTCCTTTTGTTAAGAAGATGCCAGCTGTACCCAGACTAGAAACAACATGCAAAGCACTAACTATAGTGATTAGAGATTCTTTCATTGCATTCATGGTGTGGAGTGTGAGCATGCACACCCATACTGTATTTATATTGTCTCATTTTCAGTAGTCTCCATTCCTGGAAAAGTCACAATTATCCATTTCTACTTGGTTTCCCATTAAAAGAATATTATGGTGGCAGATCGTGCCCCTGATTAAAAGACTTCATGCCAATAGTTTCATAGAAATGACTACAAACATATTTTAAATTTAAAAAAAAACAGCATGAACAAAAACAGCGGTCGTTAATAAAATTTTCAAAACTTTAGTAAATCAATGAAGTCAAAATGTCAAGTAGTCACCTAAAGTTGCACTTAATAACAAAAGGCACTACATACTGTACCAAGTTTATCTCCAATATTTGTGCCTTACTTTGACTACAACAAATTCCAGTGAATCAGAAAGTGGGCATTCCCTTCATCAAGGTCAGTTCTGAGAGCATTCCTGGGAAAAATCTGAAAGGCATTTGCATGGAATCTTCATAGATGCCTGAGAAGATGAGCTGGAGATGTTGGCCTTTTTCATGCTACAAATTTTTCTGTAATAAATTTGGGAATTAGAGGTCAAGTTTATTTGTTGATGGCACAGCTTCATTTGCAGAAAGAGTACATTTCTTTTCAAAGTATGTATTTCTGTAACCTACCATAAAGTCCCCTAAGTAATACAATGAATGTAATTGACATAATAATTGAAAATCATTGACTATACCTAAAAGAGTTATTTATAGTTAAATAACTCTATACCCAATATGGAAAATTTTTCCAGGGTTCTTTGAAGTTTACAAAAATGTGAAGCATAATAAGTTTCAAAGTTCCACAGTTTCGTTGTGCTCAATGCCCTTGTGAAATGACAGACTTAGGCTCTGATTCTGTATCAGGGAGCTAAGTGGATCTTCTGGAAATGAAAAGGAACAACGTATGCATAAGTGCAGTAGATGTACCACCAGCAAGAAAACAGAGGTCAGATTTACAAGGCGCAGCATCTATGAGAAATCACCTTTCCTATATTGAAAAGAAAAAGCAAAAATATAGGAGAATTTTACACTAGTATTGCTTGACGCAAAGCACATTGATGCCTGGAAGGATACATTCATTTTTGACTTTTCATTCACTCAGAAAACTTTTAGTAAGTGCCTGCAACCTGCTAGACACTGTTCCAGAATCTACGCAGTTGTACTCATATAAAGAGAAGCCTCATAAAGTTAGGACTATTGTTACTACCTTGAATTGAGCTTAGAAGAGGGCCTCATCAAGGGAATGGGATAACTGACTGGTTTAGACAGTGGTCACCGTCCACAGGCCACACACTGGCAAGTGCTAATGCTACTTCAATAGCAAACCTCTGGATCTAGAAGAAAGAGCAATTGGACGAACCAGGAATTAAAACCATAAAAAACCTATACATCTGTAATAGTAAATAACACTCACATACCCTGGCGACATCAAGGGTAGTATCAGAATTATGTAAATGGACATGACAGGAAAACATTGTCGGTTCTTTTAGTCTACTCAGGAAATATTTATTCCTTCCCTACACCTAATTTTAACCTCCTTAGCAACAAACATTTCAACATTCTCTCCTGCTCCCAGGAAGACTAAATACATAATTAATCTATTTATTAAATTAAGAGACAAAAAAGTTTTTCTTGACATTCAGCTCTGTTGGATGTATTTTCATTTAATTGCATCGTGTGTTATGTCTTGGTAAACACTTCACTTCCTGTCTCGGTGGACATCCTGTCTGTGCACCTGTGCAGTACACTTCAATCATCAAGGCTTCAAAGTGCTTTCGAGCTATCAAATCTTGGGAGAGTCCCATCTAGCATCTTAATAATTACTTTTCCAAGTTCTTTATAATTAACTCCTTTAATCTCATCTCATTAAATCAATTTTGTATTATCATTTTGTTGTTCTCTGGAAAGCAGCCAATTGTTCAGCTCTTGAATCAGTTTTCAGACTCACCTCTCTTATCTGGGCTTGCACATATTTTTCCTAAGTAATTCTCCATCCCTTAAAGCTGAGTCCCTCTGTTTCATTACTCACCCTACTCCTTCCTGTTGAATATGTTCATTTTCCCAGTTGAATTTAATTTTTATCTACTGTTCATATTATCTTTTATACCCATGAGGATAATTTCATAGTCCTTTCAGGTTCCAAATTATCGAAGAGATGACCATAATTTCCCTTTTTTTAATTTTTTTGAGACATAGTCTTGCTCTTGTCGCCCAGGCTGGAGCACAGTGGTGCAATCTTGGCTCACTGCAAACTCTGCTTCCCAGGTTCAAGTGATTCTCCTGCCTCAGCTTCCTGAGTAGCTGAGATTACAGATGCCCACCCACCATGTCCGGCTAAATTTTGTGTTTTTAGGAGAGACGGGGTTTCACCATGTTGGCCTCAAGTGATCAGCCCACCTTGACCTCCCAAAGTGCTAGGATTACAAGCGTGAGCCACTGCACCCATCCAATTTCATTTTTAAATATTAAAAGGAACACAGCATACAGACATTTTGAAGCCAGTTTTATCTGGAAAGGTCTTTGATTAATTTTGTAATTACCTCTCAGAAGAAAGCCCAAAACAACATGTGAAAATAATATTAAACCATTTAGCAGATGTCCAGCAATACAAAAATAGACCTCACATGCTACCCTTCACATGCTGATTCTCTTGCCTTCGTGTACAAGGATACAGTTTTTTATGTTACATATTTTCCTTACCTTTTGCAATAAAATTGTTGGCCATATACTAAATTCTCATTCACTTAATTTTCTGGGAATGCTTTGAGGTTGGAATCCTGAAATCATAAAGCTACCAATCCGCACAACAGCAGTGGTAGTATCTGAACCCTAACTCTGGGACACTCTAGAATTTTAGTCTACAAACATGAGCCAGACCAAACCTGACCTGGTGAAAATCAATACATAATAAGCTGCTTGTTTGTGATAGCAATTCAAGGGCTTTCTGTGTTCCATTTCATTGAGGAAATGAAAACATTATAACTGATTAGCCAAGAAAGAGTAGAAATAGGGAATAGCTGATCTTCCTCCAAGTTACAGTGAGCAAGCTCTCAAGACTACCTCATTCCTGAAGAGTTGAAGGAGAAAATGCCCTGCTAATTTTCTGCCCTGCTAT